ATTACATGATTTTTTCTTTTACATCTTTCCCTCTGCCATGCACCCCAAAAAATATGCAACCCTCCTTCTCTATTTTTAACATTCCCTTTGTCATGCATGTGCAGAAGAATTTTTAGATGTTGTAAATGTTGTCTTACATCGTTTCTCTTTTATAGTTAAGAAAAAAGTAATATTCTTAATGATTAATAGATTATATATATAGAAACACACAATAAATAATTTTTGAGAATGATAGTATTAAAAAATTAAGTGAAAAATGAGAAAAACGTAAATGGATGCTAAATTTTTCTGTTCTGTGATGTAAAGTATGTTATTGTTAAAAAATGCAACATAAATGCTGAATTGTTGTAGTTGTGGTTGGGATTACGGAAAGGATAGTTATGAAGTAATAAATTTGTGTATTGCTTCTAGTTGTTACAAGTTTATTTCCCATATGGCAAGTACTTCAGCAAAAGAAGTATTTTGTTATTTTCACGTTGAAGGACATTTTGTCAAAGATTCACAAGGAAAGATGACCTATGAAGATGGGAGATTAATTTCTAAATTAATTTCTAAAAAGAAGTATTCTTTTTGGCTTTTCTTTATTTTTCTTAACAAGGCTTAAAACTATTCATTTTATTCTTCTCACCGGTACCTCCCACAGTTTGAAATGATTTTCTATCATTTTCCTTCAATAGATGCTCGCACATCTATATCAACATTCTCATATATATTACTCTAACTTTTATACTCTTGTTATCCTATTAAAGCTTAACATTCAATATCATATAATATAGCTGGTCTTATGACAGTTTGATAAATTTTTTCTTTAAGTTTATTAGATACTTTTCAATCACAAATAAATCATTTATCATTTCTCCAATTAAACCACTAACTTGTATCCCATGTGCAACAATTTCATTAATTTTTTCATTATGTTGAATAATAACTCTCAAATATTTAAATTTTTTTTATTTGAGGTATAATTTGATTTCTAATTTTATTTTCAAATTAATACTGACTAATCTTTTATTAAAATTATAATGCCAATATTTCGTTTTACTCTTACTCAGGCCAAAACCTTTTGACTCTAATGCCTTTTTTTATAACTCAAGTTTATAATTAATTTTTTATTTTATCTCTATAATAAGAACTATATCATCAACAAAAAAGCATGCATTTGGAGATTTACTCTTAAATATGCTTAATGAAAACATTTACGAACAAATCAAAAGATAATGAATCAAATATAAGGTCAAAACTTTTTACTTCATGTATACTTCAAAAAAAAAAATAAAGAAAGAAAGAAACAATTAGATAACTAGGGCTTGTTTGACGACTTGCTCTAGAAATATTTTTTTATTCTCTAGAATAAAAAAATATGTTTGGTAATGTGTTTTTAAAAAATATTTAAAAAAACAAAAACAAATATAACATAAAGAATAGAAAAATGAAAATATTTTTTAGGTATTTTGAGATTATTAGTCTAGAGAACAAAAAAGAATACATAAAACACATATTTTTATTTTTTTCTCAGAACATATTCTACAAAATATCAGTTCTCATAATAAAAAATAAAAATAGTTCAAACAAGCCCTTAATATCTCAATTTTTATTTTTCCTTTCTTTATGTTGTGCTTGGCTTACAAGGAAAAAATAAGGAGCCAAAATGAAGATAAAAGAAAAAATGAAGGGATGCAATTTTCTTCTATTACTTGGCTAAATAAGAGAAAACAAGGAGGAGAGAAAAATTGTTAATTTTATATAAACAATAATAACCTTATTATTTATAAAAATATTTATATATAATAAAATTTAATATTTTGACACGTATGTGTAAATTTCTATCATATATTATTGATTGAATAAAAAACATAATTACAAATTATTTTATCTAATACTGAACAAAAATTATTTTATCCAATTTATAATTTTATTTATTAAATTATTAAATATATAATAATATTAAAATTTTGAATCCACAACCAAATATAAGAAATTTAACTAAAAATTTAAATTAGCATTTGTCTAATTAATTTAAAAATTGAATATACTTCATGTTTAACAAAAGTCTATAATCAAAATGTAACTACACTACATATATAAAATTTGAAAATTGATGGATAAATTTAAAAATAAAATTTTCTCTCCAAAATCTTTTCATATTTATAAAAAAAATTAAAGGTAAAAATATATAAATATTATATGTTATTTTTCTCATTTTTCTATCCATAATCAAGTAGGAGAAAATGTTATTTTCTTCTCACTTTTCTCTTTGGTCAAGCATATCATTAATGCTACGAATCATTAATTATATAAAGAGTGGAAAATAATAATAAAGAAATCATGTAATATATATATATATAGAGTTCCTAAAAATTAAAAAAATTATCCAATTTTATATTACAATTATATCATTTGCTTACTTAGAGGGGATTTATTTATCATTTTCCGAACTAAATATTCCTCATTTGATTATAAGTTTGAAAACATAATAATGTATTTATAGAAATCAATTAAATAATTAATGAGAATACCGTATAAAATGCTAGTTATCATCATTTACTAAAAATCCTAAAATATTACAGGACTCGCATTTTTTAAATTTTTGTTCTATGGACCTGAATTGTAGAATGGGATATTGCTCGTAAACTTTGATTGGCATCAGTCAAAGTTCTCCACAATCGTGTTTATCATATTCTCCCATTTTTCAACAATCATTTTGCAAGTTTACACCAAATATTGAATGGATTTTGGACAAGTTAGAACACTAGAGCTAAAATGTATATGGTCTCCAAACTTCTTTTTTGCAAGCTATATCCATATATACAATATTGTAATTGTAAATCAATGCATTATGCTGACACTCTTCCTTAAAATATCTATGATATAACAACATTTACAATATCAACTCTAATTCATCATGTAGAAATTTGGTAAGTACTATGCAAAAATTACGAAAAAACATAGTAAGCAAGTGTTTCTACTATAAATTTAAAGGGTCAAACTCTTCCAAAAAAAAAAATTACGTTTTATTTGTGTAATGTGTAATGCATTTTGAATGTTAATCCAACATCACTAAAAAAAATAGATATGAATAAATAAGCACGGATATTGATTGTAGAAATATTAAGAATAACATTATTGTAGAGCACAATATCCTTCAAGACAGCACTTCAATGCCATTCAGGACAAGCTACACCAGAAACCACAGAACAGAATCTGGAGCCAACAATCAGAGTCAAACACAGCCTGATCAAATTCCTAGCCTAGAGCCATCTTCATCATCCCCTTCCTAGGATTCAAAGCCTTACACTTGAAGGAATACAGTAGTTGCATCAGAAGAGCAGCTACACAATTCATGACCTCATTCCCAGTGTTTCTGGGGGGTTAAAAAAAAAAAAGGCCCCCGGTTCCAGCTTTCTCAGCAGTACTGTCATTAGCTCAGTTATAACATCTTCATTCAATCATAACAGGAAATATCTGAAGAAATGTATCACACTAAACAAAGAGTCAAGTCTGTATGGAATAGAAGCAATCGATCCTTGATGAAAGACGGCGTGTTGATAAGATTTTTTCCTTTCAATCTGTGCACCTTGGATTGAAATCTGCAAGGGATCTTATTTTCGAGAACACACAGTAAGATGTGGGATAGATGAAAGATGATCTTTGCCGCCTACTATCATCTTTTTCATAGAGATTGAAGGAAAAAAGACATTATCATAGGCGAAGTGAAAAAATTGTTTTGGTAAACATGAAAGGATGAGAGGAAAAGAAATAAAAAGTGGGAAATAAGAAATTGGAAGGATGAACAAAAAAAAAAAAAAATTACCCCAGAAGGTAAGAGTAAAATGTAAAAATGCTACAAAAAATGAGATTCAACAAGCAGATGAAAAGGGATTTGGTGCTGTGAACTTCACCAAAAAACTCTTATCAAATACTGTTCTAATCTTCTAATCGACCAAATATCCAAATGCACAAACATAGTAAGAGGAAAACTACTTGCACGTAATGTATTCAATTCATTTCTCCACCAGAGATGAATTGAAAAAGTGAAACTCGTTCAATTCATTCGTCAAGACAGGTTGCACAATCTTAAAACCAAACCGGTTCGATAATCTGTTATAAAACATTGGGAGCAAACCAAACCAAAAAAAAACTCTTACTTCTTTTAAAAAAAGGGACCAGTTCAAGTACCAAACAAACATGCCTTTGTTTGACTGGTGCTTGAAGGAATCTTGAACATTAGGAGGAAAACCTAAAAATTAATTCTTAACTACTCTTTTTATGACTCAGTTTGCAAGTCCCAGCAGTTAATATTAATGATATTACTTGTTAAGATATTACATTTTTTCCTCTTTTGGGAAAAAAATGATCCCCACATTAAACACCAACAAAACAACATTTACAGTAAAACAAAGCAACAGCAAGGAAAAAAAAAAAAAAGCTAAACATCAAACAAAAATAAACCAAAGGAAACCCCAACACTCCACCTCCCAGCTTCAACACTAGGGATAACAGCCAAAGCAGGTGGGGGGATTAGAATCCCATCCAAAAGGCCTTACCTTAATTAAAGATTTCTTGGAAAGTCAATCTGTTGTAAGATTCACCTATCTCAGCACCCATACAAAGCTAGCACTGCAGCGCCATTCAGGACAAGCTACCCCATGAACCAGAAAGTTAACCAAAAGCTAACAATTAGACTCAAACAAATCCTAATCAAATCTCAAATCTAGAGTCATCTGCATCCCCTCATTGAGAGACAATGTCTCGCACTTAAGACTGGAAGTTGCATGAGATGAGCAACTGCAGTTTCTGAAAAATGACCCCTTTCCAGCTTTCTTAGCAGTACAATAATAAGCGCAAATATTACATCTTACTTGTCAGAAAATAGACAGTGAGATACAAACAAAAATGGCATCCTCAAATATAGAAGGATTATCATTCAATCAAAACACATAATACCTGAAAAATGCATCCATTTCCAATGGTTATATATCCATCTTACCTGGACAACTAAATTACCAAGATAAAAAGTCCCCAATAATCCACAAATCATCAGCTAAATTACATATCCATCTCTGAAAGAAAACTTTACAACATGATATTATAGATAGGCAGGTCAAAGAAAGTTACAAACATCTAGTATTAAATACATGCACTTACCAATTTACCATTCTATATAAAATCTCAACCCTCAAAGGTACAAAATGATCCTCACTGTCACAGGTTCCTTTCCAGCAAACTAACTTAAAGAAAATCTGCAATGTAAAAATTAAGATCCAAGATCAAATCTCTTCTATGTGGTTGTTGCCAACCGGTGCAAGGCTTTCCACATAATTGAAAATATCATGACTCATGCTGTTTCTGGAGATAGCAAAAGTCTTGACTTCATTAGTACTGAGATTGACCAGAAAAATATTTTGTTCACCATTCCTCCCTTCACGTTCAGCTGCATTAATATGCCCAGGGAATGCAACAGAATGGCAGACAATTTCATTCCTCCAAATAGTCCCTGGAATTAAAATGCATGGGTAAGGGCTGGTACTATATTTCTTAGTCCAATTCCATCTTCCTCCGGATGCACCTGTACCCTCATTCATCACCCACAAATCAATCAAAGAAGATTCATAGTTTCCAATAAAAGTGTGAGAAAGCAGAGCAAGATTATTCTCGTGCACAGTTAGCTTATTGCGATATGATCTAGGGACTGAAGCAGGTAAAGGTATCAAAGTAAACACTTCCGTTGCGACGTCAAATGAAACTATCAAATGCCCAACAATTTCATCGTTCTCCCCCGAATTTAGCATAAACCCAAGCCAAAAGATAGCTCCATTTGCAGGGAAACCATTTGAAACAAGATATATACCGTCTAAGTTCCCAAATTCTATTGCACTCCATGATCCTGTGCTTAATGAATAAACTTGCACTTGATCGACCAGATTAGCAAATAAATTACACTCTTGCATACGAATAAACCGTTCATTATTCAAAGAAACACGCATTCTCACTATCTTGTAATCATTAGCAATTGAACTAAACCCAAATCCCATCTTGAAAGACTCACGCAAAGAAATACAACAGCTACTAACGCCTTTCTGACCTCTCTAGTAGCTGGATTCCATACGAAAATGGATGCATTATTGGGTTGGAAACAGAGCAAGCCATTGCAGCAACCGATGATACTAACACCCAACAAGAAACCGATTAGAGGTGCGTTTTGAGCTTCTTGAACTCGCATCCTTTGATCGAGAAAACACAAGTACGAGAATGGTCTAGCCCCTCCTAAAAGGAGAGAAGAGTTTTGAATATTGGAGTGGCGGATATGGTCAAGAATGAAAGATGGGGTCTTCAACAGATTTTTCCAGTTTTTGCAGACACATCGACATCGGATTAGGTATTTTACCGGAAGGCATTTGAGAATGCTTCTGATGATGTCTTGGGGAAGATATGGTGCGTCGCCGTTCACTGCCATCTGCTTCATAGTGCGCGACGAGGAAGAACGGATCTTGGACATCACAGTGCACAGTGCCAACCAGGGTTCGCCTCGCCAGGGAATGAACACAACAAAAGAGAAGGTCCCTCGTTTCTGTCTCCATTTTACGGGAGACAAAAAAATTATATATTAATCAGCTGTTTTGCATATTAAAGAGAGAGAGAGAATTAATCTTTTAATTTTTAAATTTTTAATTTATTTATAAATCAGCCTCAGTTATAATTTATTATGATTCAATCTCTTAATTTTAATTTATTTATAATTTAATTTTTAAAATTTTAATTTATTTATAATTTGTTCCCTCAATTTTTGTTAGTTCTGTTTTTAAAATTAACTTGGATCTCACGTCAAAAAGTAAGAGAAGTATATTTTAAATTAAAATATAAACATTTCTTTTATCCTTCTTATTTGATAAGAATAATTTTAAAAAAAATTAAAAAAATAAGGATCAGGTTATAAGTGACTCAAAAGTTAAGAAATTGGGTCCTAACGAGTTATAGTTGAGAAATTAAGTCATAATGAATTATAATTAAGAGATTGAGTTATAAATAAGTTAAAAGTTAAAAGATAAAATATTAATTTTTTCAAAAAAATAATTAATCTCAATAATTTTATTGAGTTTTGCTTCTCTTATCTTTATAATTTTTTTCTAACACAACCTTTTACAGATTAAGTTAAGTGTTTGTTCATTTTTCAATATTTTCTTCTTGTTTTTTTTTTTGTGGCCAAAATGTTTTTCAATATTTTCAATCATTATAATTTGAATAAGATTAGATGATATTTGTCCTTTATATATCTAACGATGTTAAATTTCAGAGATTATAAGAATAAAAAATATTAAACAAATTACAAAGATTAAAAATAGAACCCAAAAAAAATTATAGGGTCAATGATTGAGTTTTCTAACAAAAATTATAGACTAGGTATTCTTTTATTTGATTTAATGTTTGAATAAATACATAACAACGTTATTACAGAAAACAATTAAATAATTAATGTTGGGCGCAAACCTCACTTCGTCCGTTGGTCAGCTTTTTGTAGACTTTTCAGTTTGATGGTTTTAATATTAAAAAAATTGAGGTTGGTCAAAAAAAATATTAAAAATATTCAGATTTTCAACCAGGCTCTGCTTGCAAAAAATATTTGGAGGCTTTTTAGTGGATAATTCTCTTTTTACTAAAGTTTTTGCCTTTAAATATCTTTTGATGGATTGTGAAGTGTCTTTGAAATCCAAAAGTACTTCATCTCGCCCGCGGAGAGATTCTATGTCTTGTTCAGACATCATCATTGATCAATTGTATTGGAATGTGAGTAATAGGAATTCAATTTCCTCACATGGTCGGCATTGGCAGCTTTTGCAGCAGTCATTGATAATTCAGGTAATGTACCTTCCTTTCTAGCCTCATACTTCACGAGTCGCATTCCGTGTCTTCGAATGCTTAGTGAAGTCTTTATATCAGAATGTTTTGGCTTTGTTGTAATAACCCCAAAATAATAACACTAATAATAATAATATTATAATAAATATTACTCCCTTTATTTTAAATTATAAAATATTTTTAAACAAAATCTCACTTATTAATATATTTATTAAATATACTTTATAATGTTATTTTTTAAAAATAAAGATATAAATTTTTTAAAAATACATTTCATTTAATACTTTATTAATAAAAAATATTAAAAAGGGAGAATATATAAAAATAATAATATTAAAAAAATATTATTAATAAAATTTTATTTTTATTAAAATATCTTATATTTTAAAATATTAAATTTTTTAAAAAATATTTTATAATATAAGATAAAAGGAGTATTTTATAATTTTTTCAACAAGCTTTGGCCTTTGGTCTTGTTATGTGATTTTTCTCACGATCCATTTTACTTCAATTCTCTTTTTCTTTGTCGGTTAAGAGTTGCAGAAATAGAGTGAGAGAGAGAGAGAGAGAGAGAGAGTCTTTACCTAACCTCCGTCCATTCTCTATTCTTCCTCCTTCGTAGTTTATTCTCGTCGAATCCTCTTCCGCCTCTGTTCTTCCTTCTTTCTTTCTTTCTTTCTTTCTTTCTTTCTTTTTTTTTGAGTTTGTTTGCCGGTGAGGGTGCAGGTGGGTCGCCGATCATTCACTGCCATTGTGAGTTTCCAGAGAACTCGAGACTTCTTCCTCCTCCTTGTTTCTCTCCGTGCGTGGACGTCGGGTAACCAGGATTGTTACTAGAAGTCAGAACTTGAATTCCTTCACTCCCCTGCGTACACAGTCGACTTCTTCTTCCTTCCTTTGTTTCAAACATTGCTGATTGAGTGAGTTTAACCCATTTATTTTCTATTCTTGCAATTACCCTGAGGGTGTATATATTGCTAAACATTGTGATTCTTTTCCTTATTACCAATTGATGCGTATTTCTGAGAGTAGGTAGAGTTAAATCAAGTTGGAACTTAAATTTTAGAACACATCTCTGACAGATAATTTCACTTATGTATCATTTAGGTATGCTGAATAGTGTAAGAAGATGAACTTAGACTTAGTTTTTCTTGGACCTAAAATTGATTATTGATGAGACTTGGGTTTAAAAGTATGTTAAATTTATATTGGTGTTTGAAATTATATGGGCACGAGATTTGAAGGCTTCGAAGCTTAATTGAGTAATTTGAAAGGTAAATGCATGTTAAGTGTTTGTAGGAAAGTCTAAAAGAGAATTCTATTTTAATAATGTAATTAGTTGGGTTAAGATGATATGACAAATTTAGAGACTTAAAAGATGATGAAGAATGCACTTTGACTTGTTTAAATTAATTATGGTTATATTTTTATAGCAAGAAAGTTTGTTTAATTTGTAAGAAATATGTCAAAATTCTATTATATTTGATAGGGTAGTTGGAAAAAGAAAAAACTTCTTTGAAGCTGGGGAAAGGAAATTTTGGAACTAGGTGATATATTAGGTAAGTAAATAGTGTTTCCCAATAATTAGAAGTAATGGTCTTTCTTTTATTTTATTTTTTGTTTATTCTAAATAAATTTTCCTATTATACCATTTATGATTAAGTTGATTTAAAATATACAAATATCATGTCTATTATTTAAGTTTATTTATGCAATTATTCTCAAGGTATTTCATTTTTCTCAAAAGTATTATACATGTATGGGTTGGATAATAATTGATGAAAAGATCAATTATACTTTACAAATTAAAAGGTAATTTGAACTATAAGGATTTTTAGACTCCATGCATGCGAGAAATATTTTATTGCACTGAATACAGAGCGCTAGTTGCTAACGACAATTTCGTTAGCCCTTGCATGCCATGGCACACCTAGCTAACAGGGTATATTGGAGATACTAGTCCCGTGCATTTGCCAATACACGTGGAAGGGAGGATGAAATTTCATGAATATAATTCACACCTATTATTCATGAGCTTTTATGCCTATTTTTCATGGCTTCTAGTTATGATAGATGTTACTTAACTTTGTAGACTATGTGTCCATACTTATTATTCGTTTTGTTTAAGTTCTAATAGAAATAAATTTTCCAAGTTATATTTTCACTCTTAAAAATTGTGTTTTTATGATTTTTTAAATAAAATAATAATAAAATATATTCATAATTTAGTGATTATGATTCTTTATTGTCTCTTTTCTATTTCTATTACCCAAATATTAAAGATAAATTGTGGAATTATTCTCAAATACAATTGATAACTAAATAAGTCACTTATTTTCTATTTTATATGTTTACGAATATCATTATTATTTATTATTATTTGAGGACGTTATTTATTGAATAAATTTTGGTATTCAGATAGTAGTAGTGGACATGTTCTTCAGTAGATTTCGTGGGACTCCTTGAGATAAGAAGTATTTTGTTGCTTCATTCACATTGTAAATTAATGTAAATATTTTAGTATTTTATTTTTGCTCTAGAGTCGCTCTACAAATCCTATAAGCTAGATCCTTGTTTAAAGTGTTTTGGATTGTATGTTTATATACTGTACCAGAGTAGAATTTTGAATGCTGTTTGGATATTCTCTACTGAAATTTTTGTAACAAGCTTAACTATTTTGTTAGTACTAGTATTTTTTTAATACAAATGACAATTATATGATAAAATTGGGTAATAAAAATGTTAGACATTATATGGGTTTAAACTTATGGAATATGAGTTTCTTATATTCTAGCTCGTCACACTTTAAAAATTTAGGGTGTGACATTTGTCAATTCTCTCTACCCTTGTTCCTTTGCATTGTCATGATGATGTGATAGTTTGGGTTAAAAGTCATTTAGGATTATTTTGTGTCAAAGATGGATATAAGTTTGGTCTTTAGTGGATATGTGTCTTCAATTTCCAACAATTTTCCTTGAAATTCTATTTGGAATACTTGTTTGCAATCTCAGTTCAAAGTTTTCCTTTGAAAAATTGCTTGAAATAGATTGAAAACTTTCTATATATTGAAGAATCTCAAGATGAATGTTGATGAATTATGTCTTTTTTGTAAGTCTCCTTCAGAAACTTTAGTTCATCCTTTTCTTCATTGTAACTTCACATGAGCATGTTAGTTGGATGGCCTATTCAAGAGACCTAACTTTAATTTTTTAAATTTCATGAAATTTATTTGTAAATATATTTGTTCTAGGAAACCTATACGTAATTGTCCCAAAAACTTATTGTAAAGTATTGTATTCTTTAAGACTGCACTTCAATGCCATTCAGGACAAGCTACACCATAAACCACAGAACAAAATTAATCTGGAGCTGACAATCAGACTCAAACACAGCCTGATCAAATCCCAAACCTAGAGCCATCCTCATCATCCCCTTCCTAGGATTCAAAGCCGCATGAAGGAATACAGCAGTTGCTTTCGAGAAGCAACTACACAAACCCATGACCTGTTCCGATAGAGGTTCACAGTAACAACAATAATCGATGACATGATTGCAGGATGCTATTATGCTTTTCTAAGGGTAAAGGCCTCTGTTCCAGCTTTCTTAGCAGCACCGTCACTGTCATAACCCCAGTTATTGCATCTTCTTTGTTTGAAAATTAAAGATGAGATGCAGAAAAAATAATAGTAGCAGGTGG